CAGAAGAGATTAGTAGGATATCTAGCCTGGGCTACCACCAATGCACTAGCACCCCTACTCTTTTTGCTGGTTTACATTCTTCCTAGGCTCAAAGCAATATTAACATTCTGCTTACTTTATACTTTTCTGAAAGAAAGGAAAAAGTGAATGCAGATTCTGAGAGAAAAAAATAACTCGCACTTTAATATTCATCTCTCCTGTGTTCTTGACACTCTTGGATTTCCACGTGTCCAAAAAAACCCAAACAACTTACTTCCCTCTCAAGTAAGATTCCACCTGAATTTATCCAACAGTCCGTTTTTGTCACAGTGCATTTTTTGGAAAAGAATGGAAAGTTTCTTACTAACGTTACTGGAACTAGATTTTGTTTGGGGGAATATTTTGTGAATAGCAGCCCTTAAAAACTTCTAGAGTCAGTACTGGGGAATAAACAGAAGACTTCCAAAGCTGAATACATGTTAGAAACCTCTAAACCAAGGCTATAACAGATCTCTGAATTTTTTCAGTCAATCTATACCTAAAAATCACACGGGACCAAAGTGTTACAGGAGCACCTACAGGTATGAGTAACAGCAACAGTCCAGCCTGCATATTGCTGATGGAGTAGACGGAACAGTGAAGTCTGGTTATTTAAAAGATTTTCCAGATGTTGGCTGTCTGTTTCTGCAAGGAAAAAAAACAAACCAAAACAAAATCGTCTTCATTAGCAGCTAATAATCTCCACAATGACTTGAAGGAGGATGAAATTCCAGTGTCTTTCATATGTAAGTACAGCTTTGCTCCTTCACCTTGCGAAGTGCACCCTAGATTGGAAAGAGAAGACAGCCACTAGGTGGATTTTACTGATGATAAAAGCTCAGAAAACTTGTGGATAGTCCGAGAGGAGAGAGATGTGCAGGCTCATGCAGACCCCGTGGAGAAGAGGGAGAAATGTCAAAATGTCCCACTGTTACTAGGTATTACCTAACAGCTAGTTAATTCCCATTACCAACCTCAATGAGTATTCTCCAGGTATCCAGTGTAATGAATAAAAATATTCACCAAGTTTGTGTGTTACGACCCCCCCTTCATATTACACATGCAGCTGCCCTGCTACTCTCACTTCCCCTTTTGGGTGTCCCATTATAAAGTCTGTTATGTGGAGATGACATCGTCACTATCTCTGTTCACTGACTAGAATAGAGTCGGCTCTAATCCTCTAGTGGGCTCTCTAGGTAGTGCTGCAGAACAGTGTGTCACAGCTCAGTTCCTGTCCCCTACCTGGTGAAAAGGTAAGACTGTGGAAGGACACAATGTAGGAGGGTACTTAGCAAAGTTCATACTGAGTGGTTTATCTAGCACGGTAGCAAGTTTTAAAATGAAGGAAAACCAACAAGTCCACAGAACAGGATAAACTTTCAGCATCCTTCCTTCCCAATCCTATTGTCCTACGTTTTGACTTTGAGGTTCACTGGAATTAGAAGACACACTGAAGGCATTCCAAAGATAACAGGAAAACACTGGAAAGGCAACATGACAAAATCACAGATGCATCACAATTTTTTCCAAAATGGTACAGAGAAGTATCATATACAACATCATCTTTAGAGTCCAGTGGCCAGAACACATTCTAGAAAATTCTGCTGTTTTCTAGAGCGCAAAATTCAAGCTCACTGCAGATGCACTAAAGCCTTTTATCATACCAAGTCAATACTGGAAGAAAGGTTAATGAATTAGCTGCAGAGTGGCTTCTGTTCCCCGGAAATTGGGGAGGGACGCATGCTACCTCCTACCCTGGGAATAGAAACAAACCCAAAGCTACTTTAAAAACTCACACATATATTGGCAGTTAGTAGGAGCATCAAAAGCTCTTTGCAGGTCAGTCCCCCCCTTCCCCCTTTCCTCATGGGGGCACCTGAGAAAATACTCCAGAAGAGCAATGGCTGCAAATTCACCCTCTAACCTTTGGCACAGAATTCAGTCTGATGGAGTGGACTGTGCAACTGCAACTATGTCATATGGCACACAAACACACACACCTTCAACAGTATTCGATCCATTAAGACCACAGAATAACTCCTCTTCGCTCCAGTAAGCCTATGCCATTCTCCTGTCATTATATTACAGCTCCATCTTTTCAGCATTATTTTCAAGGGAAGAATATCTACAATTCCCTCTAAGGACCTGGAAGCACAGGTTTTCATAAAAATAGGCAATGCAACATCCATAAACAAAAAGACATTGTTTAAGGTTTCTCTTTTGAAATATTATGGCAGAAATCTCACTTGACTTTGTCAGATAAACAATAAGAATATGACCCTCTCCAGAGTGTATATATAAACAATCAAGTAGGCAGAAGATCAATGGGAATTTCAGTGAAGCTATTGATTTAGTTTTTGCACACAAGCTTGCAGGCCATACTTAATATTTAAAACAGAAAGATTTAAAAGGAGCACGGGTATCTTTAGAACTGAAGGAAATTAGGGATTAATATCAACTGATGAAAATATCTACATGGCCTGTAACAAAGATCTCCCAGGGTCACAGCTGTCTTCCTAAGCTCTGTGGGCATGCCTGTACCATTGTCCCTTCATTCCAGAGAATCTCAAGCAATAGCTGTCTACAGGTTCCAAAAGTACATCTCACCTGTGGGATGCATACAGCCCTAGCTGAAGTCAGACGCGAATCCTAGTTTGCAACTGTTACAAGAATACAGGACATGGTCCTGTATCATCCTATACAAAATGGCTTCCCCCCCAGTGATAAATATACGGCAACCCTGCCCCCAAAAAGCACAGGGTTAAAGAAACCCTTTCCAACGTGGCTACCTGAGGCAGCTCCTTCCTAATCATGTTCACTGATACAGTTCAGAAGTGCCCAGCTCTCCCCGTGCATTGTATAGGAAGATAAGGTGCTTGTCTTAAAAGCGCAAAATCCAGCTGTTGCTTGCAGAGTCCTGAGCAACAACAGGTTACATCACCGAGTTCAAGTCTCTCTAGCCTTTACACAGCAGGCTATCCATAACGATGGATAAAATCCCTGATTAGGTAAGTGCAAGACATAAGATGCAGCCAACATCCTCATGCATCTACCATGCATGTGTCAGGCTCACAGGGGAAAATTCATTTCCGTTCTCACTCTACAATGAAATTTATGTCTAACAGTTAAGCACACAGCTGTATCAAGCAGTTTAATAATAGGCTACAAGGAGTGTGTGGGTGGTGACGATATTACACAGGCTGTCTGTCACTCTAATGCCTGTACTGACTCATCAGGAGGCAGCAGTACAGGGACATTGTCTGGCTTATTCAATTATGTTCCCTCTGTTCAATGACTCTGGTTAGAGGCCTGACAGTCAAAACAACGACTACATGAAATATGCTGCATAATATACTACAGCAACTAGGAAAGCCCTTAGCTCAAATGCTGCAAGAATATTTTATAGGCATATTGAAGAACTTGAATAAGAAATTCTTAATCTTGGCTGTAAGCTTTATCCCAACCTGTAGCACAATACCCCCCACACACTAAGTGCTACAGATATAGAAGGGTCAGAGAAGCAGAAAATCATCCTGAATTTAGTGCTGAGTCCAGACTGACAATTGCAATGCCCTCAGCTCTGCATTCACACTAGGTGCAGGAGCACTGTCCTCTCGTTATAACTTGTTTTAGAGAACCACATTTAACTATAAGAAATTGGTGCTAGACCAGCAACATGCTCACAAAAGGCATGTGAAGCAGCAAGAAGTTAGTAAAAAATTCCATTAATTAATACTTGGCTTAAGAGAGACATACTTGTGCAACGTTCACTTTATTAAAAACTGTTAAAAACATTCACTACCAAAAAGTTGCAAGTTAAACATGTCACATGCCCATGGGAATATTGCATGGTGACTGTCTATTACCCTTTATCACCAGCAAACTGCCCTACAGCTGCTTGGCACATAGTTGGTTAGAATCTCCTAAGCCTTTTGCAAGAATAAGTGTGCTTTGGAAAGCTTTCTTGTACACATTTGTTGTCCCATGGACAAACTCATACAGCTGATCTAAACTTACCATTTTAAGTAGCCCAACTGTGGTTCAATGTATTCAATTATCATTTAGTGGTTGTTATTAAATTATCTAACCATTAGCTGACCTCTTGTCTCTTTGCTAGCTCCTAAACATTCTGATCCTATCCCTTTCCTCTGTCTGTTTTCTTTCCAGTCTACTTTGGGACAGTACTACTGTCTACTTGGGACTATGACATTGTCCAATACATATTGCACAGCAGGACTTAACTAGTGGTTTCCACCAGGAAAAGTGGTGTTCTCTTTCATTCATGCTCCACCAAAACTTTTAGACTTTACGAAGGCAAACTTCAGACAATTTAATTTTTTTCCCCCCTTGTAGAAGGTCACATTGTTCTCCAGTCTGCTAAATCAGTTTACACTGTCAGATACACACTACTCCTTCCAGACACAGACAGCAGAAAGCCTTATGTAAATTCTTTCTCCTCAAAATTTGCGTAGAAAAGCAATGACTCCCAGGTGTATATAAAACATGCTAAAACACATACTACAGCCCACTCTCAAGTCCTGCATGCTGGCATGTAACAAAACCTACATACTCTACCCACACAAGCTAGCCCTAAGCAGCTGGCTGACCTCTCTGCTTAACAATGGATTACTTGGGAGATAATGAGTCCCAGCTGACTAAGCAAGGTTTTTCACACTTGCCTCAGTAATCTGGAACTCCATAGCTCTTCCTGTCAAACTCCAGTCTCACAGATGACCATACTAAGATTTGGAGGTCAGCATACCCTAGTGGCTAAAAAAACGCCTTCTAACCTTCTCCCAAGCTCTACTACTTGCCTGAGTAGTAGCTAAGTCTCCCTGCAATGTCTCTTGCCTTTGAACCTCCTTAAGTGTGTATGGTTTTGGCTAGGATGGAGAGCAACTGAAATGAGCTATCAATCAAAGCGGTGATTGTGACCCACACAGAAGTCACAACCAATACACCCTACAGTTCTCTAGTCATACCTGAGGTTTAGTTTCCTCTTCATCCTTATAATAAAAGAGCTGCTCCCCACGCAGCACAAACCACCGCTGCTGCCAGTTCTTCATAATGCTCCTTTGTTTCTTCAGCCAGCCGCACTTCAGCACACATTCTTGAGGGTTTGGAGAAGAAGGTCTGGAGGGAGGCCCAATCTGTTCACCCATCACCAAACTCTTTGACCGGGCTGAAAAAGCAATTACAGAGTAAATGAAACAAAGAAATAAGGATAGGAACACACAGAGAGGCTAAGTGACTGTTCCCATACTTTCTTCTCAGACATGGATAGACCATTACATGCATGCTCCCTCTTTTAGTAGGTACTTGTTTTTCAGGGTGTACATTCAAGTTTATGATAGTCAAACACAAGACAAACATTAACCTTTTGGTACTGCTCGCTCTAGTAGCCTTCTAGGTGACACAATACCTCCAACCAAGGCTCCACTGCTCATACTATCTTTCTTTGTGGCAAGTCATTACTGCCTTCCAGCTCTACATGGGAATAATGACATTGCTCTCTCCTAAAAGGATATTTACCCAGTGAGGATGTGCAAGTGTGGTGAGGGAGGACAGAAAAGGAAGGAGAGAGCATAAGAAAATATTCTCACTCTACACACAACCACTATTGGGGTGATTAGCCAGTGAAACCAGCTGCCACAGGAAAAAAAAATGAGATTCAGAACTCAGAAAAATTCAAAAAGGGAATAGACACATATAGATAACACACCTATCCGGAATGATTAAAGTCACCTCACTCTTCAGGGCTTTCTGACATTGAAGCAGAAAAACACAATGGAAATAAAAAAAGACAAAATAGAGGAAAAAAAACCCATGTAAATCTCAGGAAAGGCTTCAGAAGAAGAAAAAAGTCTATTGCTCTTTCCTTCCTCTTCTCCTCCCACATGCCTGCAGTAGAAGTACTGAAGCTTGGGACATTTAAAGCTAGTCTGGAGTAGCAGATAATGATTATATATTGCAGGCAGCAAGCCAGTCCTCTAGAATGGATAGGTTAGATACCTCATGGGTCTTTTCCACCTCTACTTTGGATTTATGAAGTATCTTATAATAAGTTATTTAATATCTCATGCCAATTAACGGACCTTCCCATTTTCTACATTCAGCTAACTTAAAACACAATTTATAATTGCCCACTTGAAACAGGGCTACAGTTTACAGGCCAGTACTAGTAAATCTACATCATTGATGTCTTACATTAACACTGTAAACTGCTGCAGCTAAAAGTCAGGCAAGCTTCTTGTTCAGGCATCCCTGATACACTACAGCTGATTTGGTCTGTCACAACAAAGGGCAACCCTCTGCCTCTCAAAATACTGTCTAGTTTTGCCTCCTTTGGGTTCAGACAATTAAAACGTGTGGCCCTGATGTTACCACCTGACTCTAGTTTCTGCCCCTAGTGCCTCACCACACAGTGATGGAACTGACAACATACGCCAAAGAAAGAAAAATAAAGTGGAGGTGATGGTTGGGGAATAAAAAATAATAATAAAATAATAATTTAAAAAAAATTAATCACATTAAACTTGATCCCATTTCTTCTTTTCCACGAAGGGAACTGCAATAGAAAGAGAGGCAGATAAGGGACTGAGGTCAGATCTTTGGAGAGCCTCCTTGGTGTAATCCAGTGAGGGAAATCACGTTGGTATCTGTGATAAAATCTACTTTGACCATTCCCATGACCTGGCAGTCAGGCCATCATGTTCTGCTTCTTGAAGAAATATAAAACCAGCACTTTTACACGCTAAACACTTTTGTCAGCAGAGGGCAGATCTGAATGGTACCACATCATCCATTACCAAAAAGTCTCAGTGACAGCAATCTCCACTTGCATAGTATCATACACTTTCCTCCCCTACCTCAGCTTAAAAATCCACTCAGACCTGGCAGTCAGGCCATCATGTTCTGCTTCTTGAAGAAATATAAAACCAGCACTTTTACACGCTAAACACTTTTGTCAGCAGAGGGCAGATCTGAATGGTACCACATCATCCATTACCAAAAAGTCTCAGTGACAGCAATCTCCACTTGCATAGTATCATACACTTTCCTCCCCTACCTCAGCTTAAAAATCCACTCACCTCTTCTGTAACCATCCAGTAGGTACTCAGTCTGGCCTCTGACAACTTCCCAGTTTTACAGGCAGAAGATGGCATCACTTTATTAGTCTTAAATTTCAGACTCTGTGAAAGCCCTGTCTGATAGGCAGAAGGGATTTCCCCCCCCCCCCCCCCATTTCTCTGAAGTGCTCAGGTAAGTTCTACTACTCTCAACAGAACTATGAATAACCGATTTTGTCTTGTGCCTCAATGAAGAGAAATTAGTTTTCAACCTATAACTATTTCCTGCTGTAAGAAATTAAGTTTGTTTTTTTTTTTTAGTTTCACTTTAAAATGTTATAAGAATGTTAAACCATGACACGTGCTGATGCAGTATCATAGCTTTTTCAGAATTCCACTTCCCTTATTTTTGGCTAAAATACCTCGCTGAATTTAACCTGAGCTCATATACAGCATTAGTCCTACATTAGTGAAGTTTACCAGCAAATTTCAGATTTGCTTAAGTAACCCAGCACTCCTCAATCCTGATTTTTTCCTACATAACCAAAACAATTAAAAAAAAATAAAAATCTTAATACAGAATTCACCTAAAATCAGGCTTTGATGTACCCAGGCATATTCTCTAAGCTTACTCACTGTAGTCTGAGCTCTAACAGACAGACATTTTCATTCCAGCAAAATACATAAAGAACCACTTTTCACCATGAAGCTTAAGATGCTTATGCCTTAATATATCCCTTTCTGGCAACACAGTGCCCTCTAGCAGAAGACTACAAAAAATACCAGGACAACTTCGCCTCCTGCCTGCCCGCCCCGCCCCCCCATAACTGCCAAGAAATGAAGGATCTTATTTCATGTGCATGTATTAAGAAAACAGACTTTTCACATTTAAATCTCTATTGCAGAGGCCCATGAGGATTTAGTTGAAGGAACCGCCTCTGACTCATCCCAGGCCACATTTACAACAAGGACCAAACTGTAACCTGGTTTAGAGTGTCCTAGATTCCTTTCCACATTCATGTTACAACATATGTTATTAGAAGAACAAATATTCCAAGAAATTGCTTTTCCAAATGGAACTATGATGTTTCTTAGGCAACATCTTGGCTATTAACCTAACCAATTAGTCTAATAATACCAAAATCCGTGCTTCAGTAAGCACCCCAGTCATCTCTGCACTGAAGCACCTCAGCGCTCTCCAGATTAAGCGTGCAACTCCCAGCAGTTTCCAGTTTTCCTGACTTGCATATAGTTATACAAACCCTCTCCTACTTTACCCCTCCCCCTAAAAAGAAGCTAGATTTATTTAACTGGAAACCAACTACCTTTATTTTAGCATCTATATTGACACAGACCTCACAAAAACCATCAAACATCTAGCTCTGGAATAACCCAAAGTATGTTATCTCATATTTCCCCTTACACACCCTTTGGTGTTATTATTACTAGGTAGGGCTGGACAAATTTATTATAGTGAAGAATTAAGGCTTTTGTGATCCGTCACTGGAGTATGTATATCTTCGTATTTTTAATTTAAGCAGCACCATGTCTTAATCTATTGCTACGGCTGTTAATTCTTCATGCTGTCTTAGCTTTCCATTTCCTTAGAGTTTCTAGTCATGACTGTAATAGTTAATTTCATTAGGGAAATACTTAGCAACCTTATCTGTAAGTCAACAACATGGATCAGATAGAAATTTTTAGAAGGAGGAATTATTTATGGCTATTAACGGCATTGACATTTATATTGCATGCTTCACAGAATACAATAATTGCATAGAGGTCAGAAGAAAACTTTCACGGATGAGCACAGCCTGCCTTTAAAGCAGCAGGTATCTCATACTACTGGGATCAAAATATCTGCTTTGATAATCTGATCCAGCACATCAAGCCCCTGGTTCTTAATGGTAGATATATATTCTTCATGCTCATCTATTTAACAGAATTATGGAACCAGCAGAGCACAAGGAAGAAAACAAATCAATAAATCAGACTCACAACAACTCAGCAAATACTTTACATGCTCTACAGTTCTGATCCAGTAATGCGTTTTCAATAACACCACATAGTGTGGTTTTGCTCTTCACATTTTCATTAATTGATTATTGATTCAGCCATACACGTAAGTCCTAAACAGAAATCAGCGTAGAAAGGATTCAAGCTCTCCTTGGAAAAAGGTTTAGGATTCATTTGCACAGCACAGCAGTACTGAAATGCCAACTACAGGACATACCCACTCAGAAGCAGGGAAACAAAGCAATTACAGCACAGCAAGATTACAACAGACCAGGCAGATCCATCTCCTTGCTGCCCCATAGGTGGCACTAACAATGAGCCAAGCCTGTTTTTTGGGATGACAAGTCATTAGAAGGCAAGAATCAGAACTGCAGACCTTGGAAAATACTCCTGTGACTGGAAGTGACACTGGCTTATGGAGGTTCTCATATCTAGATGAAGGTGGGAGGAGGAATATGAGCAAAGGCAGTGGGGTGACGATCAATGCCAGTTGTGTAAATGCCTGGGCCACAGTAAATAAGTTCCCCATCCAAAACTCCACACTTGGTTGTCATATCTTTAATAGTAAACTCAAAGATTATCCTAAGGAGTGGATAGACCACATCGGATGGAGCCATGCTGCCATTCCTTACAGAGATAGCAGTCCCTATCCCCATCCCAACTCAGCCCTGTCTAAAGCTACTCTTTCTCCATTTCTCCTCCTTGCCCCATTAACAGAGCACCATACACTTCTGCAGTAGTTCCTCTGCAACTCAGACCTGCCTCCAAGCAATATACACATTCCTGTTTTCTACCCTAAGGATGCACATAATGAGACAACTTCTTCCCTTCCCTATCCATACCATCCCCCCTTCCTGCACTCAATCCTGCCTGGCAACATTATACAATTTCTTCAGCTCTCCTTCTCCTGCCCACAGCTCTGAACACCACTACAGCTTTGAGCAATCAATAAGAACCCGCTTAAATCAGGGATGTGGAAATCAATCAAGTCAATGCAATTCAATATCAATTAAAGTTGTAATCTTTTGAAATTTCATAGGCAGTTAGCTCAAATCAATATAGTCGTTATAATTGATTCTGTCTGACAAACTGTCCTACGGTGAAGGCACTTTGCTGTAGTGTTTCTTCAGACTAATGACATAGTGACACTACGTATTATTTCTGATACAGTCTTTGTTTAAAGTACTAGCCACAAAGGGAAGTGGTTTCACATACTATAAACAATATTCTCAGTTGTTTTATTTAATTCAAACTTTGCCTCAAAAATGGGTGCACTGAAAACACAGAAGTCATGTGCCTTAGAAAGAGATACTGCATTTCCTTTCACCAAACTGTAGGAAATAAAATACTTGGTTTAGATTTGTTTTCTGTGTCCGTTACAAATCTATATTTGTGTTTGGATTTGATTGCTAAGATACCACAGCCAGTGAGCACAAATGAAACCAAGACACTTTCTCAACACAATCTGAGAATTTATCATCTTGAAATACAATAAGCAAAGAAATTAAAGGCAGAATGTTTGAAATGATTGGTGATGTGGTGTGTTTAGGCAACAAGAAGGATATCCGTTACAAGAAAATGGCAATGGCTTTTAGTTCCCTCAAGCCAAATAAAGTAGCAATCTGTACAGAAACAAAACAGTGCTACACAGCCATGTGCCTGCTCCCATTTTGTGACCTGGGGGACACTTACCACATTCAGAAATACTACCAAAAGAGCAGGTTGTTCTCCATTACTTCTATTTAATAAAGCTACACCTGTCTATTCAGAATATTTTATAGACCAAGATGATGTGCTGTGTTCTACTTCCTTTCCTTGATTTGTTTTTCTTTCAGCCAAAATAAAAATATGAAAGGATATTTTGCTCTGGAAAATAATTTTTCATGGCCATCCATCAGATATTGCTGAAGAAAATGAAAGGAAAAATAAATGGCTCTGGAAACCCATGATTTTTTCCAAGAGAAACCATACATGCATTACACTGGAAAAAGTTCTGTAACCTTACTGTCCAACTGAGGGAAAAGCAGGGAGACAATTAGCTTTACATATGTTTGTCTAGTAATCTGTATTTTCTGTAATGGTTGGGATACCAAACTGCACGTACCAAAGCAGGCAGGCTTGCCAAGAAAAGATTCTGACAGTCTGAAGGAAGGATCTGTTTGTACAAATATTTACTTGATATTATTAAGTTCCTGCAAGAACAACTTCATTCCCGAAGGCCACTTCATAAATCTGAAATCCAACATAAACTAGCATAATTTCACTCTCGGACTAGGGATGACAGCTGTTAGAAACTGGCTACACATACAGGGTAAAATTCCCTTCAGTCCTTTCCTGAAGGGCAGAAACTTTGGTCATAGATATTTACCTATAGGTAAGACACATTCTGTTTAAAAACAAAAACCCACCCCAACCTAACAAAACAAACAAAAAAACCACCAAAAAAACACACCAGCCACACAGATAGCCTTTTGAGCAGAAAGAGCAAAGAGATGGATGAAGGAAGATCTGAATAGCAAGGGAATGACTAAAAAGCATATTTCAGCTACAGAGCATAGCTATGGCCAAAGAATTTGAGCCAGCCTGAAGGACTCTGGCAAGAAATAAACTATACTCTGTAGCAGAAGATGCACCAAGGTCCCCAAAAAGGAGCCCAGATGGACTGGGAAACTAGACTTGTTCATGAAGGAGCACCCTGTCTCCAGAACACAGGTTCATCCCCTCTCAGAGCTCCTAAGACCAAAAGCTGAGGGTTCTGCTTTCAAGATGTTTGCTCTTTTATAAAGGCTGTTAACTCTTACCTTTTTTGCACTGCCAGATCAGTCAGTGCTCTTTCACTGGCAAAAGGGAATGAGAAGGGAACTGCACATGCACCAAGGAGTTCTGAAGAATAAAACTAGACTGCATAAATTCTCCATACCAGCACGTTTTAAGGGTGGGCGCGCTGACAGGAACAGGAGGCAGGATTTCCTGCTAGCTAGCAGGTTAGCACACCTGCACAACACTGTTGTACCGCACATACTGCATCTGGTACTGAAAGCTGTGTAGCCCTGCCATAAGTTCAGGCACAGCAACGCACATTTAAAGTTGCCTGTAGCTTTTCTAGAGCCATCAGAGCTGGCTCTGATCTTTGCATCAATCTTCAATAAGCATGCAGCATTTCCTTTGTAGAACATGAAGAAAAACAATGCCTGTTTTCCACCTACAGTACAGCATTGATAGAACATGGTCAGAACCAAGAGGCAAATACACACTTAGCTTGAGGGCAGTTGCTTCCTGACTGGCATGAAGAAATTAATCTCGGTCATCTTTGTAGTGTTCAAGATAACAGCCATGACCTTTCACCACCTTACAAATGGTATAGTCAGCTCTGTATAAGGCATGCTCTAAATCAGAAAAATAATTTTA